CCGAGCCCCCAAAGGCCTTTTTGAACCTGGCTTTTGGGGCTTCTTCCTGTGACTCCTCCTTCCCCAAGGTCTCTTGAGCATTAGCTGCACTTTGCTGTTACCTTGGCATTCCTTCCTTGAATAGCAAATAAAATCCTACCCAGCCATGTAAACATAACCTGTTTGATTAGGGAGATTAGAAATCAGCTGGTGAAGTCCAGTCTCCTGCCTTCTTCCCGTGTTCGAGGTGAAGAAGCTGAGGCACGTCTAGAGACAGTGACTTGCAGCTCAGACCCATCCCATCGCAGGGCCGTTTGCTCACGTGCCCACCCGCGGGGTCCTGAAGGAACTCGGAGGCGCCACCACCTGGCCCTTAGCAGGACTGCAGGGGAGGCGAAAAGGAGAGAGGCGTCTCCCACTGGCTCAGGACTCTGCGGAGAGGCCGCGTTTTACAGGCCTCCCAGAGCTGAAGGGAGTTTGGGGAAACCCAGGAGCACAGAAAAACCAGGCTGGAAACAAACCTGGCTGAAACGGAGGCCTTCATCTTATTGACTCAACAGTATCCTTAAAAACGCCTTCCTGAGCCTCAGAGGCTCTCACGCCACCCTCTTCACATTTTGTAGCTGTTGTCCCTGTCTGTGATTGTCTCGGCTAACTTGTCACTCGACTGTCTTCCCCTTGGACGGAAGCCCAGCGGGGGTGGGAGGGGCTCCTGCTGTAGCCCCAGCACCTGGCACCAGCCTGGCCAATGGGACACCCTTCACGTTTGTCAAATAGGTGAATATGCATTTATTCCACACCCACCAATAGGTCCAGGACTTTTGCTGCTGTGAGGGGTGTGTGAACCACGGCAGGCGGCATCCTTCGTTGCATTATTACAGGCCCACTGGCGTGAAGCGCTGTCTGGATGGGTGAAAATTCCAAATAACAGAGGAATGCTGGCTTTTTGCTTTCAAGGACTCTCGGTTTATTGGAACTTTAGTCCTACTTTAATAATTAGGTATGAGAATACTTTGTTTTCAAGAACCCTTGTGTTAAATATTTGCACATGTCTGCAGTCACAAACCGCCCATCGACATCTGCCCAACATGGACAGACACTGTGGCAGGTGGGGTGTGGGGCTCTGGGAGTGACGTGCTGCAGGCAGCTCAGGGCATGTGGTCCCGTGGGAAATGCAGGGTCAGCGGGGTCATGACTTCTGGTCTGCCTACAGAAAACTTCTGTAGTCCAAGATCATTCTGGAGCAAATATGGTATCTTGTGGGCTGCTTTGGACCACACAAGCCACTAATGAAAAAAACAAAAATCTTAGATATATAGACCTGGATTAATCATAATCTTTGATTCATGACATAATCTCATCACTGAGCCATGCACGGTACTCTTGTTTCATTCATTCATTCATTCCAGGCCCCCAGTTTGAAGCCTCTGGAAAATACATGGTGCCAATTACAAGTCAGTGTTAATGGGTAAACCGTGTCCCTGCAGTTGCTGTGTAAGGGCCTAACTCAGCCAGCCTTTCCTGGGTGGGAACGTGGTTCCGCTGCAGGCCCTTGGGGGAGACAGCCCAGGTGTGTATCCAGGTTATGCGCTTGAACCTGGGCAAAATATCCCACCTCTCTGGGCCTCGTTTTTCTCACTGTCCAGTTGGGGTTATTCCTTGTAAGGCTGTTGAAAACGTTAAGGGAGCTAGTCTGTGTCAGAAGCACTTAGAGGAGTACAAGCGAAAAGCACTCATTTACTGGCTGCTGTCAGTACTGCTAAGGGGGGGCGGACCTCTCTGGCCATTTCTTACTGTTAGGGGTGCAGGAGTTCGTGATGACACGCTAGTGCCAGTCAGGACAGGCCTGGAAACAGAATGTCTTTCTGGCTTCAACAAGGTTACAACCTCTGTGACTCAGTAGGATCCTAGGTCAGGCTATAAAAAGTCCAAGACAAGGGGAAGTCAGGGGAGACTTCCTGGAGGTGAAGACCTTTGAGGTGAGTCTTAGTTTGCCAGATGGAAAAGAGACAGCAGAGGGAACAGAGACACAGAGGTGTGAGTGCCCAGCGAGCACGGGGCAGGCTCACGGAGGTGAGGCTCCCAGGTCCCCGGGCACTAGAGGTGCAGGACTTTGAAGGACAGGTGAGAATCTGGGCTCCATTCTGACGTCCTCTTTAAGGGATGGTTTTGGAACCTGGGAGACATGTGAGCAGGAGTGGCAGCAGCGTGGAGGGTGGGAGTAGGGGTGTCCAGGTGAGAGGATGGGGTGGCAGTCACGGGGCAACAGCAGAAAACAGCCTCGCTCTTCGGCCCAGGTGACTCTCACCCTGCTTCGTAATCTTCCTTCTGTGACACTACTTTCAAGCTAGGGACTGTGACTCATGATTCCAAAGGCCTGAGATGAAGTAGTGGGTGTGACCAGTATTTAAAAAAATGAGTAAAAAGAGAAGAGAATTTTTAAAAAATCAGGGTTCATTGCACGTATCAGGGGCCTTGCTTCATCAAACGTGTTTCAGGTGTGTGCACACCTGCGTTGCGGGTCAGAGTCAGAAAAACTTGTGAGACAGGACTCTCTGCAGCCTCCTGGTTCCGGAACCAGCCCAGGAGTGGCCGCACCCACCTGGCACAGGCCTTGTCCGAGGCACATGTCATTCAGACCCTGCCCTGAGGGGCCCCGTGGAACCCCGGAACAGGAAGGGCTGAGTGGAGGGTTGGGGAGGGGAGGCCAGGGAGCTTGAAGGGCCTTAAGTATCAGCCGACAAGTTCTAGTTACAGCTGATGAAACTGAGGACCTGCCTGGGACACGGGCCTCGAAGGCTTCGGGCCGGTGCTCTTTCTGGCCGTGTTGAGTCACCAGATACAGGCTCAGAGGTCTCTCTAGCTCGCCAACATCGGGGGGCCAGTAAACGCCTTGGGTAAGACGGTGGCTGGGGCCTCGGCTGTGCCAGCTCCCCGCGTGCTCCCTCCAGACCCTGCCCTAGGTCCCGCCACCCCCGCAGCAAGTGAGAAACGCCAAGGCCTGGGAGTTAGAAACCCTTCAGCAAAGAATCCTCAGGACGTGTTATTGGAACTGAGTTGGTAAAAAGGAAGTCAGCTTCCCTTTTGTGTGGGCTGCTCTCTGCTTATACTTCCATTGGCCCTGGGACTGCGCGCACCGGAACTAGCCCGCGGACGTGTTGGGCTTGTGACTTGCCTGTCTTTAGGTCTTGTTATATCCAGATGGCCTCATTTCACACATTAAGAAACAGTTCCGGAGAAGTCCTGTGATTTGCTCAAGGTCACTGAGAAGGCAAGGCACTGGGAAGGGGGTTGGTGGCCGTGGCTGCTGGCCCTCTGCCTGTGGTCCCCGCCCCATCCCAGGCTGTTGGCGGTTCCGATGTGAGATGCTCTACGCTCGCTTTGTCCCTGAGATAGTGCCCGAGGAAGACCTGAGTCTCATAGTATGGAATCGTCTTTGAGGATATTACTTTCTAGCTGATAAATGACCCTGTTCTCTGGAAAGGAAACTTTCCATGTCTAAGAAATTGCTCAGAAATTTGTAGGGGAAAAAAAGACGGCAAAGTTTAAAAAAATAACACATGGAAAAGCCCATGCCACTCTTGTGATCTTCTTTCCTTCAACTGATTTAATGGCACCGAGGCCAAGTCTGCTCTTCAGTATGGACCCAAACACCCACGAGAGGGTCTTGGGCACCCGCAGCGGCAGGGCTAATCGCAGCTACACCAACCATCACATTTCCCCGCATGCACCTTGACTGAGGCAGAAGGCTCGACAGCACACGTAGTTGTGAATATCCATCCCAAATGGTAATTATTGCATCATTATGTGCGCCCTTTCACTTGTCATGTACCATTAGAAGGTAACAAGATCATTGTCAGTCAGAGATTGCGGAGATAATTAGAGCATCTATAGGATAGCAGGAAATCAAATTGGTGCTGGTGCCCATTGATGCCGGGGAGCAGAACGTAATTAGAGGGGAAATATGCAAAGGTTGAGAGGAAGGAAGCCCCGGGGACTCAGTGCCGTGACTCATTTGAGAGCGACTTCCCCGGCTGACACTGCAGATGGCAACATGGACAGAGGGGTGGTCTGCCAGAAGCCACAAGTCGAGGAGCCACGGATGGTGTTTGGAAGGCCCCCGGAATTGCCTGATTGGGGAAGAACATGGTGTTCATCATGTTTGCCAACCTAGTTTTCCTTCAACTTATTCTCTCCAGCCTGGGGGCCACGTATCGGCCTAAAAGCAGGGCCGAGTGAAGTGGGCCTTCATTCCAACCCAGCGTCAGCTTCCCCAACCCGGTGCCCCTCCCCCATCCCAACACCCCGGCACAGCTGCAGGTGTCTGTGGCCCAGAGCCCCCCATTTCTGTTTGCTTCCACATCCAGTTCTCCCACAGCAGCCCCCCGCATCCTGCTAAGCTGGGCTGCTTTTGTTCCCCAACAGTTAAGATACAGACACCAATCCAAACAATCTCATCCAAATGGCAACGTCATCATGTTGACACCAGAAAATGGAACAATTTTTACATCTTGAAAAAAACAAACAGGTTTTAGAGGACGAGGGAGAAGTCTGTAAGCTGATGAGGGTTATGCCATGGAATTCAACGAGACATAGGCAAAGGAGAGACAGGAACAGATTACCTGAAAGGGCTGTTGACTGCATCCACCAGCTGTGTCAGAGGCCCTCAGTCAGATCCGTCACTGCCGCAGACAAAGCACGTGCCGAGGGCGGGGGAGGCCCGAGACACAGGGCGCTGCCTAACTCCGCCCGCACATGTATCGTCTGCGAAATCCAAGAGTACCTTCCCGGGACTTACAGGATTTTAGTTGAGAACATACCAAAAAAAAAAAATCCACACCTGCTTGTGCAGATCACAAATGTTTACAGAGACTAACTGGCAGGCTGGGGAGGGGGCCAGCCTCTTGTCCTCACACAGGCTGGGCTTGAGGCGTTCCTCTTCCAGAGCCCGGTCTGCAGGTGTGGCTTCTTCCCTAGGGTAACGATGGTCGGTCGTCTCACACAAACAAGCGGCTGGAAGCTTAGTTCACATTTTTTAATAACATGGCACAGTTTACATAACACAAGAAGGCTCCGCCGATGAGAACATGCTGAAGACTCAAGTCGGTTCACGTTTCTTTTCACATAGGATCTAGAAAGGACTTTATTACATACAGGAGAAACAGCAAAAAGGTCTGTATAGAACAATCTCTTTACAATACTGAAAGCTACCACTACAGTTCCAGTGTACATATTCCTTGGATTTTTTTTTCCTTTTTAGTTGTCTTAAAAAAAAAAACAAAAACACTGCACAACATCTGGAATTCACAAAATCTGAAGCTCACAACTAAACCTTCAGTTGACTACTAAAATAGATCTCTCTGCTTATTAGAAACAATGGTCTGTAGTTAACTTTTTTTTTTGCAAAAACAGGATAACAATGTCAGATAGCACTTTAATATACTAGAAGACCAAATGGAACTAATTTTATTTCATACATATATTTTACAGTCCAGTAGACAAGATATATTGTATTTCTCTGCTAGTAAAGTCATATTCTCTCCAAATATGTAGACAAGAGGCTTCATGTATTATAAAAGTATCATGAAGAGACATTAAGATTGATGCAAACTCAAAAACACACCGCACACACAAGACCGTGTCTCTGCCACCTTTCACCCTTGGTAACTCTCCCTGGCCCCCCAAGGTTGACCTGTTTCAGCTACTCCCAGATTCGATTACCGCCTGGAATACGATGAGTCACACTAGGAAATGTGCACCTTGACTTCGTCAGCTATTGAATACAGTGAAAACATATCCATCATCTGAGAAAACGCGAAGCTTTCTTTCAGGATCTGTTTGGGTGTAATTGAATCTCATTACAAAACGAGGAGGTGTGTACAGACAGGAAACAGGACACACTGAAAAAAACGCATGGTTCCCACATGAGGTGTGTGTGCAGTCACGTGACTGAGGGTGACGAGATGCTGGCCACCTGTTTGTGTCCCCTGATCCTGGCATCTGACCACTCCCATCCTCCCTGGCACTGGTTGTTCACGTCCTCGGTTACCTTTCCGGGGCTGCACTCTCCCCCCACCGCCAAAGGCCCACAAGCAGCAACTTCAGAAGCGAAGTTTCAGCCTGGGGTCTGATTTGCAAAATCGGGTGTTTCTCCGTTTGAAAAACAAGCAAGGAAAACAGAGTCATATCACGTAAGCGCTTGTTCAGGGAAAATATGACCTTAAGTATGTTGTAAATGGACTTGAAAAGGCTCCTTTGAGTTAGGCGGGCTTTTGTGAAAAGCCCTAACATTCATTGCATAGTTGAAGGGTTTAGCTGTCTAGAACAATACATGGGAACACAGCAGACTGTGCTCACTGGTATTAAGTCTGCAAATAGCACATTTTAAGAAGTATTAATGTATTATGTTACTTAATCTTTATCTATTTACATCTGTACAAAGTAAAGCTTTCATCTTACCCTTTTGCATATATGAACCATTAGCTCATGAAGCAATCTTTTTTTTTCTTTTCTTTTTTTTTTTTTACATAACTATGTACATGACCTTTCCTTCTCGTCTGAAAGAGCTCTGCACGGTGGATTGTGTGGACTGTTTGATTTTTCACCCCGATCATCACCACACTGGTGAGTGTTACCCTCTTTACTGTTTTGGTTCAAATCAAAAAGTTTTATACAGGAAACCAAAAGAGTGGGGAAGACATGGGAACATAGGACTTGGCTAAAAGATCTGAAAAATTTCAACAGAGCATATACAAAACATTTCAAAATCTGCACTGAGTCTATACATTTTTACAAGGGGAAGGGCCGGGGCGCCCCGCCCCCCCAGTCTGCGCTCGGGGCGCTGGCGGCCCTCGCGCTCGCTCTTTCCGGAGTCCGGCGCTGTGCGGCCGCGGGCCCTCTCCTCCCTGTGTCCTGTCCTCTCCTTACCGAGCTTCGATATCCTTCAGAGTGTGGGAGGGAGGCCGCTCCCTGACCTCCGCGGACAGAGGGGTAGTCCTCCTGGGGGAAACGGGGCGGCCCCCCAGCGTGGAGATGAGCGGGGGAGGCGCGCTGAGTGCCGCCGTCGGGGGGGTCTTGTTGAGGAGTCCGTTCTGGGGGCCCGCGGTGGGGCTGATGCGGGGGTAGTGCATGCTGGGGAGCCCCGGCGTGAGGAGGCCGGGGTGGGGCAGGTGTCCGTCCAGGGAGGCGGGGTGCACGGGGTGGAGCCGCGGGTGCTCGTAGTCCTCTCTGAGCATGTGCAGGCGCTCCCGCTCGTCCAGGTGGCCCCCACGCTCGTGCTCCCGCCGCGGGTCCACGGACAGGGGGTGGTGGTGGTGGTGGTGGTGGTGGTTGTAGTCGTGGGGCTCCCGGTCCCTGAAGGAGCGCTCAGCTTCGTACAGCCGGGGTGTCGAGAGCCGGTGCAGAGGGTCGTTCCTCAGCAGGAAGTCCCTGCCCAGCGGGTCTCTCCGGTGAATGTCAAGCTCTCGGTAGGGGTCCCTCAAGGGGTCGCGAATGGGGTCCCAGTGGAAAGACGGGTATGGGAAGCGCTCTCCGCCCGGGATGGGGCTGATGCCCATGAAAGGTGTCATCATGCGAGTCCTGTCCAGGCTGCTGATGCTGTTCATGGGGTGGATCCCCGTCACCCCCACGGTCATGGGCATGGAGGCCAAGGGCCCCGGGTGCACGCTGGCCGAGGAGCTGGGTGGTGGTGGCTCTGAGGACCGGTGGGTCTGCGGGGCCTCAGGGGGCAGGTCATGGTCTTCCTTGCGCTCCTCCTTCACCTTGACCTCCGCGCTCTTCTTGGGGTTCTCGTAGGCCGGCTCGCCCTTGCGCGGCTCTGCCTCGCGGCTGGC